CAAAAATGAATAAGGGAAACATTATGGGTGGCACGTTAACTTTAACTAATAAAGTTAAAGTTAAAGTGACACCCCTAACGTAATCCAAATGCAGCAAGACCAATAAGTGACACTTTAATCGCTGATAGTAACGAAGAAAAAACAATTATAACACAACCATTTCAATAGATAGTTAATTAACTAAAATTTAAATAGTAAATGAACTTTGCCGTTTTTTTTGAAACGTAAATTATTGTCATGAAAGGTTAAAGATTATACGAAAAAAATGTATATTGCGTTGTAGATATTAAAGAACAAAGTACACTTAAAACATATGCCGATTTTCTCACTATTACATCTCTATATAAAACGATCGAACGAAAAATAAAAGTACATATTTTACAATGAATACTATTTCTATACTCGCTGCTCTTCTATTTTTACTTTTGGTAGTTAGTTCAATTGAAGCTAAAACCAAACAACAACTTCGTAATACCAATGAACGTCCAGGTAAATCTATATTCGTACACATAAAAGATGATTCCTATCGATTTTTATCTAGGTGCATGCCCATCAACAAATTCATCTCTTCATATTCACTGTCGCCGTCGTGTGTGCCTTGAAAGCGAGTTAAAGTCAGGTTGCCAAAGTGATGATGCTTGTCCAGGAGCAAAAAAATGTTGTCGTCCTATGTGTTCATGCAAAAAAGATTGTGTTGAAGCTGTTTAACGGACAGAATTAGTAATAAGGTTTTTTTGTTAGCTTTTATGACTGAAATAAATATATCAATACAGATTATATAAACTCAAGTGGTCTTCTACGATTCTATTACTAGTTTTTATTTCATTGATTGATTCTTGAAAGTACGATTCATTAAAAATGAAGATAATAGAGCGACTAGAATAAATCTCAACAAACATAATATACATACGAAAAGATGATAAGTAGAAAATAACGACTTGCCCGTCATTTGTTTTTACTTATCAAATTTATGTTTTTTACCAATAAATTCAATAAATTTACATAATAATTAGAAATTGAACATATATTATGTATACTGAAATAATTCTTGATACATTTGGTTTATTCATCTTATTTAATTAACAAACGATTCAATAATATATATTATTAAAATATAATTATTTTCATAGCTAAAAATCTCAAAATTTCAATTTATTAAGAGGATGCACACCCCTACGCCTCTATTTTTGGTGATTGTAGTTTTAGCTTCCATTCTTTATACTGACTCTGAAATGCATCTATAGTTTGATGAAGTCTTGATAACGTATTTCATGATGTTCATAGAGTTGTGTCGTACGTCAATCAAACAACGAAAGAGTGACAATTACTAATTGTTATTTTTTTATACAAATCGAAGCAAATGTGTTCTTATCGAACATGTAGAACTCCAGTCCAAAGTAGCAATTAAATACTGAATTGTATCGTTTTCATACAAAGTATATACTTATAAACTCGCTCACCAGAGAGCATAAAAGAACAAGATAAAAAGGGACTAACATCGTTGCACTCTCATTAAACTTATTAAAAATATCTGTGCTTTGTTCGTAAAATTTGTGGTTATTTTTGTTTCAGATTATTCCGACGTGACAAAATCAAACAATTATATCCGACGCATTATTATTACTCTTTCATTTAAATATTTTGCCTCGAACAAAAAAAAACATTTTTCAGATATATCAAAGTTATTCTCAAAGAAACATGTCTTCGTCAGACGGTTTTTTCACATTGTTACAATCAGTACAGACAAATTTATTTCGAATCGGTGGTCCAATATTATTGGTATTTGGTGTTGTTAGTTGTATCATCAATCTGATTGTTTTCACTCAGAAAAATCAACGTAAAAGCCCATGTTCTCTCTATTTGATAGCAGTGAATAGCGCTAATTTCTTATATATTATTTTAGCATTATTATTTCTTATATTAACAGTTGGCTATGGCACAGATCTTACTATATATAATCTCTTCATGTGTCGTTTCTATTATTACAGATCGTATTTATTCGATATTCTCAGTCCATTTTATCTTATTTTAGCTTCAATCGATCGAGTTTTAGTCACATCATCAAATGCTCGAACACGACAAAAAAGTACTCTTCGTTTAGCTTATATTTGTATCGGTAGTGGAACATTATTTTGGATTTTGTTTCATTGTCATGCATTATTCTTGGTAGATATTCAAGAAATAGCACCTGGTTATTTTATGTGTTACGCTCGAGAAGGTCTATATACCCTTCTCTTGAGTTATTATTCATTGTTCGTCAAAGCAATTATAGTGCCTCTGTTAATGATTATTTTTGGCATATGTACTGCAAAAAACATTCGAGAACTGCGTCAACGACGCATTACTCCTGTAATGGCGAATACTGTAAATACAGCACGGCACTCTGAACATCCCTTTCACTCCAAAGATCGACAATTTGTTCTAATGGTAGTTGCGGATATTTGTATTTACATCGTATGTAATGCAATGCTGTTTGTTGTCGTTATATATTACCAGATCGTACAGAATGTTGGCTTAACACAGATCAACAACTTTTTGAATTTGGTAGCTTATTTTATTAGTGATATCTCATTTTGTATTGGTTGTTATGCATATTTAGTGATATCGAAAACATTTCGAAAAGAAGTCAAACGTTTATTTTTTTTGTTAATAAATTAGATGTTTTGTTTTTCTGTTGTTAAAAATAATATGAAATGAACAAATTGATTATTATTCATCTTTTGTATAGAACAGAGTCAAAGAAAATAATGTCGAAAGACTTGCATAATAACGCTTATGCATTAATTATACATTTGAACAAATTATTCTTTAATAAATAATCATCGAGAGTTCACAATAACATATAACTAGAAATAAAAAATTATAAGGATAAAGTCTTGTGAACAAATTCTTTTGAAACGTTCAAATAGACAAAAAAACAACAGTTATTTGTTTAACATCGAAAATTACCTATTTCGAATACAATATTTTTAAATAGGTTTTATAAAATTTAGTTTTATTCTCATACAAATAATTTTTATGAAGATAACGATAAAAAGATTTTCGTTTTACAACAAATATTTTCTTGGTTGTTTTTATAGTTTTTAGCTTGATTATTGATAAACATTATACGACAAGTCACGAAATAGACAACTGTTTGACTGTACAAACTATTCTATTCCTAATTTATTTCCTCAAAAAAAATCTTTATGATGGTTCTATTTTATACAAAAATAAAAGTATTTATATGTGAATTCTATTGAAAATGAATTTCATTGGATAAATTTTAATTTTTCTTTCGATCATAGAATTACTCGCCATTTATTCGTCATCTTAATCGTTTTACTTTACTTTCACTATATGCAATCGTTTTCAAACACGTGCAAAGCTGAAATATATTAGAGAAAAGGAGTAAAAAAAGAAAAGGAGTAAAAACAAATAAAAGGAAACATAAAGTTTTGTCAACTTGCAAAAGTGAGGGCGTGGCAAATCTCAAAATGAAACCGACTTTGAATAAACTTCTACTTCTGATTTCTGATTTTTACCAGAAATTTATGACACTACTTCATT